CACAACTTTTGTTTCAACATATTCCCTTGGGTCATGTGTCCAGCCRAGGCCTCATCCATTAGTTCAAGATTTATTGAATACCTCCTATATATCAGATGGTGTGCCTGGGCTGGAGGTCYATGTCATATAGAAATGACATAGATGCATTCAGAGATGACATCCCTGTCCTTAAGGAGCTCCTGGTGTGGGAGGGCAGAGAGCCCAGCAAAGGGACAGGTGCTTGGAGCTGTGGAAGGCAGACACAGGGAGTGTCTGGAGGCTATTTTGGTGAGGGGAGGTCAGGAAGGACTTCCCAGGGGGAAATGRTAGCTGAGTTTCAGGGGGAAGTCAGGTTGTAGGTGAAGAAGGGAAGGGCTTTCTAGATGGAGCAGCACCTGGGCCCAGGGCTCAGTAGGGTTGGAATCTGTTGATCTGAGATTGGGAGTGGCCCAAGGGGGGGCCAGGGGCAAAAGGTAGGGCTGGAGTGTTATGTGGGAAAGTACCTTGATGCACTGATAGCTTCCAAGGACAGGGCCAGGTAGGCTCTCCCTGCCACCACCCAATAAGAGAGGCTGCAGACTAAGTTCAGATGCTCCAACCATAGTTTACTAAGAAAATTCAAAACATGCAGCAAGAAACAGAGAGGGYTAGGGCTGTGGCTCCGTGGGTAGAGTTCTTGCCTAGCATGTGTGAGGCATTGGTTCCATCCTCAGCACCACATAAATATATATAAATAAAATAAAGGTATTGTGTTCATTTACAACTAAAAAAAATTTAAAAAAGAAAAGAAACAGAGGAGAGATCTTGGGTCAGTTAACACTTTGCATTGGATGCCTCTGGGTGGAAGGAACACATACTCGAAGCCTGGGCTGGGGGATCTTCACGGGTCCTGCTGTCCTCCTGCTGCGTCACCATTTCTTGCCAACTGTGTTGTCACCAGGACCAGAGGTTATGTTAAAGAAGGGGCTCAGCAGATTGACAGTGTCTGTAGGTGACATCTGTAGAGACTTGGGCATGTGTGCCTGTAGTAGCTGTGGCTTACCAGTGATCTGCTGAGAAGCTGTGTTTTTTATGTTTTTTTTTAAATATATATTTTTAGTTGTAGATGGACACAATACCTTTATTTTATTTATTTATTTTTATGTGATGCTGAGGATTGAAACYAGGCCTTGCACATGTGAGGCAAGGCAAGTGTTCTACCACTGAGCTACAACCTCAGCCCCCTTTCTGTGTTTTTAGGCAGAATGTGCATGGGCTGAGATGGTTGGCCCACGTAAGAATGACGTGAAGGCCAATTTGGAAGTGGYACAATTTGTGTCTTCCTAATATTTCAGAATTACACCTGGTCCTTCCATGCCTACAAGTAATACTCCCTTTTGTCCTGTTCTTTTTATCTATGTCCAACACACATACATTCCACTGATTTTGTGTGTCTTTAGCAGGTCATGCAAGTTTCTGACAATGTCCTAATGGATGCTATAAGTTTCATTCATGCTATTTGCTTTACTTGTTTTCTGGGGCAGAATTGAATGTTCTTAAATGATAGGGTGAATACACATAATTCACATATCAAAAAGGTCATATATGTATTAATTAGGAATTTGGGTCCTATCCTAGGTTCAGTAGGCTAAAACCATTTTTTAAAAAGCGTAATGATCATATTTGTATTTTAGAAGGATCACAATTTAGGCAGGTTAGAGAATGGAACAAACCTATAACAGTTGTCCCCATGGGAAACATAATGGCCTGGAAGAGGGACTGGTGAGATGGAGAGAGATGCACCAGCTGTTGAGGACACGATGGCTTGTGGGTGGATGGTGGGTCGTTTGTCGAGACTGGAAGTGCAGCAGGAAGGACTGCTAGAGTGGTTGTTGTAGGGAATGCAGTTTGCACTTTGTATTGGTCAGCTTTGCTGCCATAACCCATAGCCTTAGGATCCCAGTCTCTCCTGACATAAGCCCTCGTTTCTCAGTCATGTTACACCCAGGCTCGGCAGGTTCACTGCTGGGTGTTTCCAGAGGTGACTTTGTTGTGGGCTCTGCTATTCGTCTTTCTCGTGCAGGGATCCAGGCTGAGGGAGCATGTCGTTTAGGGACATGCCATTCTCACACAGAGGCAAATACTGAGAGCYGGCAGAAACTTGGTGTAGTAGATGGAAGATGGCTGCCAATTCTTTCCTTCTGTATCCCCCTTCCCCGAATCTGGACTGACTTCAGTTTCCTTTGTCCCATGAGATATGGCAGAAGTGATATTCTGGGACTTTCCAGGCTAGATCATTAAGAATCTTCAGCTTCTCCCTGAATTCTTAGAATAGTCTGTCATGGAACCCAGCTCCCATGCCATGAGGAAGCTCAAGCTGCCCTGTGGCTAGACCCATATCCAGAAGAACCAAGGCCCTCAGAGGACAGCACTGGCTGAGCTTCACCTGACAGGAGGCCCCGACTGGCCAGCTCTGCAGGAGCCGTCCTGGAGGTGATCATTTGTACCCAGTTGAGCCACCCTACCTGATGCCACATGGAGCAGGGTTGAGCTGTCCCTGCCTGATCCTGTCCCAGTTGAGACTCATGAGCAATATAAATGATTCATTTTAAGCTACTAAATTTTGGGCTGGTTTGTTACCCAGCAACAGATAACCAGACCACTTGGGATCTCTCTTAAAACTTGGATCTTCCTCAGCTCCCACCAGTGGGATGGGGATGTGAAGGGGGGAGAGCTTCACTGAATGCTAACACAGCACACCTGGATGGTGGGCCTCTAGGGCCTGTAGGACCAGAGAACACACTACCGAAAGGTGTGTGACCACAAGGGTATTTCTATGATTTTTGTATTAACTCTCAGTTCTTGAGAAAATCAGAAGAGCCAGACCAGCCTTTTCCTTGAGTGCCTGGTCAGTCCTGGCTTTGCAGTTCCACTTTCACATTCCCCCTGGGTCAGTTCATCGTTTCAGCTCTTGCTTGCTGTGGAGYGTGATAACCCTTTTGCTGGTACTTGATTTTCTAGTACCTTTTTCTTAAAAGCTCCATAGGGTGTATTTTTTTTTTTAACTCAATGAAACTGGAAATGAATTTTGGTAGCACTCTTATCCCTTTGCCAAACCTGAGAGCCTGAGACAGCCTCCTCCTTGGTGTCATGACTTCAAGTCCTTCACCTCCCTCTGTCCTACCCTCCTTTCCTCTAATCAATCACTAGAACTTTTGGCCAAATAACATGCATTTAAAATGATTCTTAAGTGGAGAAATAACAGAGAAGTTAGCAGCATCCCTTATCTGGCTCTGAGCAGTGCAATGAATTTTCTGATCCTGCAGCAGCTGGACTTCAGCTGGCCAACTGCAGCTGGGAAGGGCCACACCTGCTGATTTAACCTCTGTCTTCCTGGGCATCTTGGACAGGAGTTTTGAGTTGAGTGGAGCAGGTGCTCAGGTGTGCAGTCATATGTTGTAACGTCAAGTCCAGGGCTCTGGTCGTGGAACAGATTTCTGCATGCTCCTTGTAAGAGGAAACCCCTTGATTTAGGGGCAGCCAGGGCTTCCTTAGCTTTGATCTTTGGGAGTAAGCTTCTGCTTGACGACTTCTTTCTTTCTCTACCCCTTTGTCTCTGTCTCATAGAGCAAATTTGAAGTGTCCTGTTTGCTTTTAACCGCTGGAAAGCAGACCCCCCCACCACCCCCCGGACGAAGTATCAGTGACAGTGCGGCTTCACTTTGATCAGAGCACCCAGCGCTACCTGAAGGAGTTCGCATGGTCTGTGGCTCAGGGACTGCGTTCCTAGAGACAGGAAGCGCACTTAGGTGAGGTCACAGTTGCAGGYTGAGAAACTTGATCAGGGATGTGTGTGGATGTTGCTCTTTGGCCTCTTTCTGCCCTTCCTTCCTTTGTTTGTCTCAGCATCTCTCCTCCTTCTGAGGTGTGTGAGAATTTAATCCTTGGCTCCTGCCTCAGCAGGGTGCTGACTCAGTGTTTGAATCACTGACTCTGGCTGGCTTCCTGTTGGCTCACGCTCCCGTGCTCCCTCTCCATAGCTGTGGCTATAAGAGCTTCCCCCCCTCACATATTCCCCATTCAGCCTCTTCTGAAAAGCCTGCCCTGGCCAGGCGACAGCTTGTCTTCCCTTCCTCCTCAATCCAAGTCCTTTCCCTACTCCCACAGCTGGAGATCAACGCAGACTTTTTTCCAAGTAGCAAACTCCAACTCTCACCCTGCATCTAGGATGTCAGTTTTGAAAACGTAGATTCTGCCCAAAGGCTGGTGGCCAGCCTGGCCCCGCTCCCCAATCCTACCAGCTGCACTGGCTCTGGGTCAGGAGGTGGCAGGAGAGGGGATAAGGTGCAGGGAAGATATGAATACAGCTGAAAAAAAAAATCCTGGGTTTCTTTCTCCAAGTAATTTAGACCATTATTAGGTTGTGCATCAGGGCCTACATTTATTATTTCTTATCTTAAGCCAGTGTTTCCCAACCTCCCCCCCATTATTGTTCCTCTAAGGAGAAAAATTAAATTTCACTTCTAAAGAGAGAGACAAAGGACCAAGGAACAAGATTTTGTGGGGCAGGGTTGAGCTTTGGTAGTGCCCTGAACCACTGCAGTAGCTAAGATTTTTTCCACTCCTTCTCCCAAGAACCAGCTTTTGTCCACTGACAAACTTGCTCATGTTTTGGAATAAGAGAACCTCCTTTTGAACCAGGCATCTCACCGGATGGTTTATTCCATTTGGTTCTCCCAGTAACCTTCCCAGGTCAGTTCTTCTCACCTCCATCACACAGACAGGCGGTCGAAGCTCAGAGGAGTTGAGTGACTTGCTCAGGCCACCTGACTAACATTNCAGGTGCTCAGGTGTGCAGTCATATGTTGTAACGTCAAGTCCAGGGCTCTGGTCGTGGAACAGATTTCTGCATGCTCCTTGTAAGAGGAAACCCCTTGATTTAGGGGCAGCCAGGGCTTCCTTAGCTTTGATCTTTGGGAGTAAGCTTCTGCTTGACGACTTCTTTCTTTCTCTACCCCTTTGTCTCTGTCTCATAGAGCAAATTTGAAGTGTCCTGTTTGCTTTTAACCGCTGGAAAGCAGACCCCCCCACCACCCCCCGGACGAAGTATCAGTGACAGTGCGGCTTCACTTTGATCAGAGCACCCAGCGCTACCTGAAGGAGTTCGCATGGTCTGTGGCTCAGGGACTGCGTTCCTAGAGACAGGAAGCGCACTTAGGTGAGGTCACAGTTGCAGGTTGAGAAACTTGATCAGGGATGTGTGTGGATGTTGCTCTTTGGCCTCTTTCTGCCCTTCCTTCCTTTGTTTGTCTCAGCATCTCTCCTCCTTCTGAGGTGTGTGAGAATTTAATCCTTGGCTCCTGCCTCAGCAGGGTGCTGACTCAGTGTTTGAATCACTGACTCTGGCTGGCTTCCTGTTGGCTCACGCTCCCGTGCTCCCTCTCCATAGCTGTGGCTATAAGAGCTTCCCCCCCTCACATATTCCCCATTCAGCCTCTTCTGAAAAGCCTGCCCTGGCCAGGCGACAGCTTGTCTTCCCTTCCTCCTCAATCCAAGTCCTTTCCCTACTCCCACAGCTGGAGATCAACGCAGACTTTTTTCCAAGTAGCAAACTCCAACTCTCACCCTGCATCTAGGATGTCAGTTTTGAAAACGTAGATTCTGCCCAAAGGCTGGTGGCCAGCCTGGCCCCGCTCCCCAATCCTACCAGCTGCACTGGCTCTGGGTCAGGAGGTGGCAGGAGAGGGGATAAGGTGCAGGGAAGATATGAATACAGCTGAAAAAAAAAATCCTGGGTTTCTTTCTCCAAGTAATTTAGACCATTATTAGGTTGTGCATCAGGGCCTACATTTATTATTTCTTATCTTAAGCCAGTGTTTCCCAACCTCCCCCCCATTATTGTTCCTCTAAGGAGAAAAATTAAATTTCACTTCTAAAGAGAGAGACAAAGGACCAAGGAACAAGATTTTGTGGGGCAGGGTTGAGCTTTGGTAGTGCCCTGAACCACTGCAGTAGCTAAGATTTTTTCCACTCCTTCTCCCAAGAACCAGCTTTTGTCCACTGACAGACTTGCTCCGAGGACTTCATGTTTTGGAATAAGAGAACCTCCTTTTGAACCAGGCATCTCACCGGATGGTTTATTCCATTTGGTTCTCCCAGTAACCTTCCCAGGTCAGTTCTTCTCACCTCCATCACACAGACAGGCGRTCGAAGCTCAGAGGAGTTGAGTGACTTGCTCAGGCCACCTGACTAACATTAACCAGAGGAGCCAGGATTCAAGTCTGGGTGTGGAAACGAGTGCACTGCCTTGACTCTTGTCTTTAGATGTAATTTATACACTGTGAAGTCCTCCCTTCTAAAGGATACATWCAGTTCATTTAGTTCAGTAGTTTTGGGTATACTCACAAGGTTGTGCAACTATCACCAATATCTAATTTCAGAACATTTTCATTACCACCCCCCCCAAAAAAAAAAAAAATCATGTGCCCATCAGCAGTCAGTCCCTGCCCCTGCAACCACTCACCTGCTTTCTAACTRTAGATTTGCCTGTTTAAATGTTCTGTGTAAGCAGACTCCTATGTGACCTCTAGTTACGGGCTTCTTGGTGTGGTATACTCCAGGTGCCTTCGTACTGTAGAGGTGTGAGGGCTTCATTCTTTCCATGGCTGCCTGATACTTCATAGCATGCTTTGTGCATTTGGTTTATCTCTTCACCTGTGGAAGGACCTTTGGATTGCTTCTGCTTTTGCTATTAGAGATAATGCAGCTGAGAACATCTATGCACAAGTGTTTTTGTGTGGGCATGTTTTTTAATCTCTTAGATATACACTTGGAGGGAGGGAATTGCTGGATCTTGTAGTCACTCTGCATCTAACCTTTTCAGGAACTCACACCCTTCCCAAGTGCTGCACCACTTGACATTTCCACTAGCAGTGGGTCAGAGTTCCCGCTTCTCATCCTCAGCACTTGTTATGGTTTATGTGTTTTTTTCTTATATTCACACTGGTGGTTTGAAGGTGATATCTCATTGGGGTTTTGGTTTGCATTTCCTTAATGACACTGGAGCATCTTTTCATGTGCTTATTGGCATTTGTGTACTTGCTTTGGAGAAATGTCAGTTGAAGTCCTTTGCCATTTTAAAATGAGATTGTCTTTTTATTGTTGGGTTGTAGGAATTCTTAGGCGACTCACAAATATTTTTTCCTATTTTTGTATGTTTTTCACTTTTKTGATAATGTCCTTTGAAGGACAAAAATGATTGAAGTTCATTTAATTTTTTTATTTTGTTGCTTGGACTTTGKGGGTCATATCAAATAAACCATTGTCTGTCAAAGGTTCTGATGATTCCTGCATGTTTTTTTTCCTGAGAATTTTGTAGTTTTAGCTCCTAAATTGAGGTCTTTGATCTGGTTTATTAGTTTTCCATCCATGGTGTGAGATAGGTCCATCTCTACAGTTGGATATCCTGTTGTACCAGCAGCTTTGTTACTTCTTTTCCCACGGAATCATCTTGGTGCCCTTGTCTAAAATCAGCTGTCACCCGTAGGTGATTTTATTTCTGTGCTCTCAGTTCTGTCCCGCGGCTCTCTGCGCCTTTCCTCATGCCAGCTGGGCCTCGACTTTTGGAGCCCAAGTTTCCTGGGTAGTAGGTCCTCTCAGGGCAGACGGGGCTTGACTTGTGGGAGTYCCTCTCATTTCTGGAGGTTGGAATTTATCCTAGCGCTTGGTCTGGCATTATCTGGACAGTCCTTCAGTACTTTTAAGGTGATATTTTATTCATTTAATCCAGCATTTTTTTCTAGTTTTCATTAGGAGTTCTGAAATCATAGCCCACTCACCTTAAAAAATGGAACTCACAATGATCCGTCTCTGGTTATGAATTTGGGGCAGTATATCCCTGACAAGATGATTTTGGAGAGTAGGGGATCGTTCATGGCATCTTAGAAGGAGACTAGGATGCTCACTAGGGCCTTTGGAGCCAGGTGATCACTAACAGAAGCAGCGTTCATTGACTGAGCACTTCCCTCAGCCCCAAGCTTGGAGGCCTTGTGTATGCTGGTTAATCTCAGGAACACTAGAAGCCTATGAGATGGTAGGTATTGATGTTGTTTTACAAAGGAGGGGGGTGGGAAGTGCTGAGGCTTGTCTCYGGGCAGGTRGGCRGGGTTTGACTCAGGGCCGGCCCCTCCCTCCAACAGGCGCCCTCTTCACTGGAAACCCTCAGAGAGATTGTAGGTATTCCATGGCCCAGTGCCAGATTCTTTTGGAAACACTTGTGTTGGGAATGTGAACTGTCTGTGGAGGGCCTGATGGTCATTCCCATGTGTATATGCTGCAGGAATCATGGGGTGGCCTATTGAACAATCCTGATTGTTGAGCGTCAACTCCCGAGTCTAAAGTAGGTAGGGAGCCTTGGTCAGGAACTGGAGGTTCTGGCATGTTCCCAGGTAGGTGTATTGCACTTGGCCTTGGGCCACACTTGGAGAAGAGCCGGTCGACAGGTTGCATGTTAAACCGCTGGGTGCTGTGGACTGGCTGTTATCACCTATGCCCAGTCACTAAAGGACAGTTTTTTCATACTCTGGGGAATGGTCCTTCCCCTTCAGTTCCTGAAAGCAGCTGARACCTCAGTTACTTTTAAAGGAGAAAGCTATATTCATGTTTTGTAAGCACTGTTGTCTGGTAGAAATGAGAATATTTGCAAAACRTTGATGTTAATAAAATGCAATGTCCAGTAATTTGCTAAACCTGACTGTAATTTAGTGGTGAGGAGCCTAAAGGGAAGAATGTGGTGTCTGGTCATTTTAGAAATGAAAAAGCTCAACTTCTCTTTTCCATCCTCCCGCCTCACCTGCTTCCTCCCAGATCRTGAAGTGGTCTGACTGCTGCTTGCCGTTAGCCTGCAGACCTGGGGATCCCTACCAGCTAATTGCTGAAGCAAGTGTGGACAACTTCAGCAAGCTGGGAGTGGCGTTCATGGAAGACAGACTCCAGATGGATAATGGACTGGTGCCCCAAAAGATCGTCTGTACGTAACTTTAGGAAATGTTTCCATCCTGTGCGGAACGTCCTAGGTTGTCAGCTTATAGACTCTGGAGTGCTGCTGTTGGTGTAACTTAGSGCAGTGCTTGGTTTCAGTTTGATTCAGAAAACTGATTTGATTTAACGAGGAAAGTATATGATTCACACAAGTGTTGAGGTTTTTTGGGGTCAGGGAGATGTGTCTTTAGTGCTTAATTAAAAACCAGGGTTTTTCATAATTGCAATGTCTGTGACATAGCATCCATATTGGATGACTTAGAGTGTTTATTTTACATAACATAACACAATATAATGGTTCTCGCCTATGGTTCTGACTGAAAGGGAATAATAGCCAGTTGTACCATGAAGGTCTAAATCTAAAGGCTTTTTATTTAAATATGCATTTCACAGTTTTGGACAGGTAGCACATGACCTGCTTTCCTTAGGCTTGTGTGTGTGCTTGCTGTCTGTGACGCTTTCATTTGTTTCAGGGGGAAGTAAGTGCCATTTATTGGCTCTGGGAATCTGATTTACCATGCACACATGCCTAATATTGTGTCCCATGTGCAGAAAGCACTCAATGCCTGTTTTTTGGATCAGTTATTGTAAGCTTATGTTGCACTGGATAGACCATTTCGCCGATCCTCTGAAGTGTCCTGTGCATGACTCCTCCTGGGGCATGCTTGGGTAGGGYCCATGAATGTGTCCTTTTTATTCCTCAGTTTCAGTGTCAKGTAGGAGAATMACAGCCTAGCCTAGYTRAATMTCTAATAGGCAAAATMTCCCCTCTTAATCTCACCTTCTTCACCAGTCAAGAAGATGATCTGGGGTTCTGATTTGAGTAGGMAGGATGTGGAAAWCAGGAATTTCMCTGGGGGTCTTCMGGAGCAYCCTTCCAGCTGGTGGCAGYGATTGTGTGGCTCCCAGGGATGCCCAGAGTTGAGGTGGGGATGTGAGTGGGAGCTGTGCAGGTGGCTCTGCTGGACTGTGGGTGGCAGAATGTGGAGAGCTGGTGAGGCTCTTTTGCCAGCTGCATGACAAAGAAGTGCTGATGAGCCCTCTGTGATCTTTCCTGTACTCCAGCTGTGCACTTGCAAGACTCTGCTCTGAAGGAACTCAAGGATCAGGCTGTACACAAGCAAGCCCAAGTCCTACAGCCAAACCCTGAACCCTCCCTGGAGACCGAGCCTGCGAGGGACTTTATGGAACACCCTGGCAAGGATGACCCAAAGGCTCTTCCAGAAGGTTCTTCTCTTCTAGAAGGTTCTTCCAAGCCGAGGAGGGGCAGTGCCTCTGGGAGTGAGCCTCCTGGGGACAGTGAGCAGGGAGCGGGCCCCCTGGAGCATTTTCACCTCCACCTGTCTAGTTGCCACGAATKCTTAGAACTTGAGAATAGCACCATTGAGTCGGTCAAGTTTGCATCTGCAGAGAACATTCCAGACCTTCCCTATGATCATGGCTGCAGTTTGGAGGGTGTTGCCGATGAGATCTGCCCTAAAGAAGAAGGGAGGAGAGTCAACATCACCGGAAAGGCGCCCAACATCCTTCTGTACGTAGGCCCCGACTCCCAGGAGGCCCTCGGGCAGCTCCAGCAGGTGTGGTCCATCCTGGCTGACTGTGTGGACACCAACAGCTATGTTCTGTACCACCTGCAGGRGGAAAGTGTGCTCAGGGACCCATGGCCAGACAACTGTCTGTTGTTGGTCATTGCCACCAGGGAGCCCATCCCTGAAGACCTGTACCAGAAGTTCCTAGCCTATCTTTCTCAGGGAGGGAAGGTACTGGGCCTGTCTTCATCCTTCACGTTTGATGGCTTGCAGGTGACAAGCAAGGGTGTGCTGCAGAAGACAGTCCAGAGCCTGGTTTTCTCCAAGGCTGACCAGAGCGAGGTGAAGCTCAACATTCTGAGCAGTGGCTGTGTTTATGAGGAGGGCCCCCGGAAGCAGCTCAGCCCTGGGAAGCTCCAGGGCCACCTGGACAATGAGGACAAGGACAGGATGATCATGCAAGTGCCTTTTGGAACCTGCGGAGGGGAAGCCATTCTTTGCCAGGTACTGAGTTGGTGTGATGCTGTTGGGTGTCTTTGGGAAGGAGAATGCTCTTGAAGGCTGTATGKGTATAGGTCTCAATGCCGTGTGCCGTGGTGCTGGGGACAGAGGCCAGGGCCTCACGTGAGCTGGGCAAGTGCTCCTTGGCTGAGCCTGCCTGGCCCACTGGGCACTTTTGACTCCAGCTGAGAGTTGTTCTGAGGTGAGGGGAAGTTTAGTTTGGTCCAGGGCTTTTGTGAAAACCCCGATGAGCCACATGTTGTGAAGGAGGCAGGAGGCAGGAGGGCTGCTGGCTAAGCAAGCGTTAGCCCGGAAGTTCTTTCTTGTTCCCATCTTTACTGGTTGCAGTCTTTCTAAAACACATTAGTCTAAAACACATTGCCTTCAAGTACACTCTGGGTAATATCAGGAGCCTTTATTTAATGTGGGAAGCTGGAAGACTCAGGGGTGGTGATTCCAGACATCAGTGACTGATCCTCTTGTTAAAATATTGCAGTCAGTCGTGGAGGGAGTTAGGGTTAGAAACACCCTCCAATCCTCAGTTCCTTTCTGTCACTCTTAAAACTAAGCGTTGAGGAAAACTTCCTAGTAAGAGAATGTGGAGCCGGGCCTGGTGGC